GGGGGGGGCGCCTCTCTTGCCTGGGCGGGGACCAAGGCCAGGGGGGGGCCTGCTGCGGGCTCAGGGGACCAGACCCCCCCCTTGCCCAGTCTTGCTTTGGGAGGGAGCTGCAGCTGGTAGGTGGGGGGAGTTGGTGCTGGGGCCCCCCTCAGGAGTGCTGGACCGGTCTGTGGGTCGCCCTCCGCCTCTTGCCCAAGTGGGGTTATGGGGGACAGGAAGGGTGTGGGGTGGGCTAAGTGGGGCTGCTGGTTTTCTGCATTTCAGGGACATCCAGCTGCATTGAGGCTGTGGGAGAAAGCAAGAGGTAGTTAGGGCTAAGCAGCAGGGTGAGAGTCTGCTGCTCTCTGTGTGTGTGAGAGAGAGGGAGGGAGGGAGGGAGGAAGAGAGAGAGAGAGAGAGAGAGAGAGAGTCTCAATTGAAGGGAAAAAGGAACCCATCATCACTATGCACTCCAAGCTGTTTTCTCAACAGAATTGTGTGGTCATTTATTGGATTTGCGGTTCTCTCTTTTCTGCCATAAAATAATAGGAATTTAAAAAACCATGAGTAAGTCAGTCAAAGGAAAAAGCTTGGAACAGAAAGGCAACTGTGAGTTACACAAAAGAAAGAACCACCATCAAACTTTTAAAAATCAAGACCTGGGAGGCTGAGCGCCTGGAACTCGGCCCAGCTGTGGTGGAGGGGAAAAGAGGCCTGGGGCTCAGGCTCGGGGGCTGCTCTGGAAGCCGGGATTCAGTGCTAGAAGAACGCCTCACCCCTCCAACCTCCAGAGGGGGGGGGTGTCATTCTCCTGGCCTTGCACAAATGGGGGGGGGCAGGCTGGAGAGGCACGGCGCGGGGGTCCCTGGGGAGCAGAGCCGGAGTGCCAGCAGGTCTAGGGGGGGGATGGCTCAGGACCCAGAGCTGACCGGGCCGTTGTGCAGAGGGGGGCTGGTCTCCCCTCTGCCGGGCATGCCCACCTCCTCCCCGGGGGGGGATTCCTGCCTTGGCTCGCTGGCCTGGAGGGTCACCCGGAGGATTCTGCCAGCGTGTCTCCTGCCCAGCAGCCCAGCGAGGCTCAGCCCTTCCTTTGGCTGGCTTGCCTGGCCGGCTTCTGCTCTTGCCGCCTGAGTGAGCCGTGGGGCACCCAAGTGTGGCTAATCCGGGCTGGTTTCTGAAATTCAAACTCGTCCGCTTCCTCCCTCGGGTTGGGAGGGGTGCCGCCTTCCTGCTCAACCTTCGCAGGGATCCTGGGGCGCCTCCTGTGATGGCCTTGGGGAGCTGTGCGGTGTCCCCGTTTCTTCTGCTGTTCAGCTGGCACCGCCCGGCCACTGCAACTTCGCCCTTGCTGGGCCTGGCACTGGGGGTCTCCTGCCCACCCGGCCTCCCCTCTTTCCCTTCAGAATGGAAGGCTGCCCCCATCCTGGCACCTCAGCCTGCCTGAAGCGGAGCTGGTGGGCGCCAGGTGGGGTCCTGCCCGAGGCCGGGTTTTATCTTAAGCGATTCTCCTGCAGGATTTCTTCCTCCAGAGCTGCTGCTGCGCCCAGCCCCAGATTTTCCCTGAATTCTTTTTCCATCTTGGGTTTGGATGCTGCTCTCCACTAAGAAGTCACTTTTGCAGCGTGGGTTTTGGAACCCGGACGTTCTTACCTCCTCCTTAAAATCTCAAGACTTGGTTATTCCAGCTTGCAGGACTGGCCTAGGGTAATTTTTAGGGGGGTTTTAATTATATTTTAAAATTCGACAAATATTTAAATATTCCTTTTAATTAATTTTAAATTTGTATTGTTTTGTATGTATTTTAAATAGATTGTCAGCCGCCCTGAGTCCTACGGGAGAAGGGCGGGATATAAATCCAAAAAA